TAGCTACTTCATCTAGCTACTTCATCTAGCTATTTGATCCAGCTACTTCATCCAACTATTTCATCCAACTATTTGATCTAGCTATTTCATCCAGCTATTTCATCCAGCTATTTCATCCAACTATTTCATTCAGCTATTTGATCCATTTTAAATCCAAAACAAAGATAATACTGAATTTGTTTAAAACCGAAATGAATTTTAATTTTAAAACCGCAATAAAAAGTCTTCAAACATTTGCCCATCTCACCTGATCTTTCCAATTCTCCTGTCGTCGAAAGTTATTATTCGGAATCCAGAGAAAAGTCCGTGAAACAGTAAAATCAATGAAATTCGCTAGGATTAGAAGAAAAATCGTGAGATTTTGCATTTTAAGCTTTCAAAGCATTCAAAGCTTTCAAAGATAAGCAGATAAGCTTTCAAAGCTTTCAAAGATAAGCTTTCAAATGATCAATAGATCAATAGAGTGATCAATTGTGGCATTTGGTAACTTGATCTCGTTCATTCACTCACATTCACTCGAAAAGAGATCTAAACATTGCATCAAAATATAAACAAAACAAGTTGACGTGGATTTGGGTTTAAAATTGAAATGCTTCGAATATTTGTAAATAAAAAGGTAAAGGATTACTGAAAGAAATCAAAGAATTAAAGAATTAAAGAATTAAAGAATTTGACGATTTAAATCAAAGATTAGTAGAAAAATCAAAACATTTTATTGAGTATTTTTGAAACATTCTTTTTTTTTTCTACACAAATTGCCAATTTCTGTGTAATTAAAGTCACAAAATTGGGTTTTAGAAGAGCTTTAAAGTAAACTTTTTAAATATTCAACTTTTAGCATACTTTAGGTCTTTACAAACATTGATTTATTGTATTTTTGGGAGTGGGACAAATGCGACCTTTTTTTTGCGCACCCGAACATTTGCGCACCTTTTTTTCCGCACTTAGCCCATTAGCGCACCTTTTTTCGCGTCTTTTTAGAGCAAAAAAGCTCTAAAAAGCTAATACTAACCAATTTCTATTCCAAATGTTGTTTTTCTTTTTTCTAGGTAATTTTAGGGCATAGAATCGAAATTTTGACATATCAGAGCAGCTTGTGAAACCAATTTGAAAGACAAAACGGCTAGATCAAATTACACTTTAGGCTTAGGCTTTAAAAATAGAATAAATCAAGGACAAACCTTGATTTATTCTATTTTTAAATTTATTAAAGTATCGGATCAGCAAAAACGGAAATGGCCTTATTGGGCGGCAAGGGAAGCGCTTCTTCTAGCAAATTTTGAAACTTTGATTTAATCTAGATGCATTTTGGATTAGAATTTGTCCCTCTTGGTCAATGTATTTCCTAAAAGATATCAATTTTAAGAAACTACTGTAATCCGGCCGTCATTTCTCATTCAATTAGCTCAATTTTGATATCATTGCCTGAGCCTTGTGGTTCCTCATCAAATGATGATTCCTCATCGACCAAAATCTGGCTGATTGAATGAAAACTGGCACAGGATTACGGTAGTTTGTCTAAAATTGAATGTCTTTTCGAAAACAGAAACGCAAATACTGTCAAATTGCCATTGAAATACTGAAAAGTGGGTAACGTTGGAGTGTCATTAATACGTACTTTCATTAAGTTGAAACTTGATGACGTTGCTTTTTGAGGTATTTGAATATAACTTAAATTTAAGCACTAAACAGATCTAGACTAACTACCGTAATCTGGCCGCCATTTCTCATTCAATCAGCTCAATTTTGATATCATTGCCTGAGCCTTGTGATTCCTCATCAAATGATGATTCCTTATCGACCAAAATCTGGCTGATTGAATGAAAACTGGCACAGGATTACGGTAGTTTGTCTAAAATTGAATGTCTTTTAGAAAACAGAAGCACAACTACTGCGGTGGAGTGGACAGCGGCAGAAATTCACCGCGATAACACTATAGCAAACGTTGTAGAAATGACTGAAGGTGCAGATACAAATGTGATGGCATTGTTAGTGATATAAATTTTTTTTAAATGGCCGCCTTTTCTAGGAAAAACGATAGCTATGGCCGAAACTGAAATGTGAAAAAAGATCGTCACTTTCGCGCGTCTGTAACTCCCTTGTCTCTACCGTATTTCTAAATATTAATATTACCATTGTGTAGCCATTGAAAAGAGCTTACAGAAAATGTATAACACTAATAGTTTAAACTCAAAGACAATGGAGTTACAGACGCGCGAAAATGACGATCGTTTTTCAAATATCATATTTCATTGTCCAGTACTGTATCGCCATTACTCAGCTTAGTCATTTCCGTAATTTTGGGATTGATTGAAACTGATGAATGTTCAGACAAATAAAATATGATGCTGATGGCATTTTCATGCATTTTCATGCATTTTCATGCATTTTCATGGCAAAACATTATCCCAATTTAATTTAAAAAGAAGCAAGGTCGTTCCTTTTCGGAAAATCGAGCCCGTTTTGGCTCAGCGAAAGTCAGGAACGGAAAGTCAGCGGAAATGGAGATGAAACGGAAATTTCATTTCCTTTTAAAAGAGTCGACTTTAAGAGATTTCTTTTGCAAACTCTCAGTCGTTTGTTTGCAATTGCTTTGTGAGTACTGATTCCATTAAAACCCAACTAATTTGCGCCTTTTCGCCTTTTGCGCCTTTTCTCAAATGGCTGTCGAACAATTCGAATTACTGCCTGAATCGTTGTAAGTTTAAAAAATGTACTTTTACTTGACCTTTACTTGAGTTCAAGAAGGAAATTTGAACTTGAATTAAGAAGGAACCTGAATTAACTTTGATTAAAAATATTTTTGAGATCAAAATCCGCATTTCAAAGTTCAAAATCCGCATTCAACCACCCCTACAGTTTACTCGGTTTTTGTGTACTCATTACCTACTTCCTGGGACTATTTCTTGGAATTAGCGGGACTCTGCTTGTTGGGAAAAGGTGAGCTGTATTTTGGGCAGATTTTTCATTAGTTTCTATTGGGTTGTCCAGTTATGAATGCGCGTTTTTACTATTTTGTAAATTTCTCAAGATATCGAACAGATGTAGATGAGTGTTATATATTATTCGAAAGCTGAAGATCTCCTCTACATTTTGATATAAAAAGCTTTGGAATTTGTGCAGCTTTGGGCAAATTGACTGCACAAAGGGAGAGGTCGTTTTCGAAAAAAAACCCATTCCAGCTTAGCCATTCCCATTCCAGCTATTCCTCAAGTTTTATGGTGTAAAATAACCGCCCAGAAAAGTAAAGATGCTCTGAAATTGTATTGATATATCTATTGGCCAAACATCAAACGGTTAACTCAATTTGAGCGGAGCCAAAACTTGATCCAAAGGCACCCTTCCATTTTTTTTGGCCACCTCTTCTTCTGTGCAGTCAATTTACCCAAAAGCTCGACAAATTCAAAAGCTTTTTATATCAAAATGCAGAGGAGATCTTCAGCTTTCGAATAATACTCATATCTATCTTTTTCTTGATTTCGGTATCTTGAGAAATTTACAGAATAGTAAAAAACGCGCATTAATAACTGGAAAACCCAATAAAATGTGTCAACTTCTGAAAGATACAGCAAGCTTGCCTCTCTTTATTCAATGAATGAAAGGCTTTCATTTATTGGCTTTCATTCATTTGTGACATTCATTCTACTTTTGGTTTGATTTGTTCATAAAGGAAGTTGAAAGGAAGTTCGGTTGAGTTTATACTGAAATTTGAGTACATGGCTTGTCCACATGTTCTTTATCCAATTTGTTTACAAAAAGTAAATAAATTGGATCAAGAAAAAAGGTAAAATGACCGTATCTTTTGAAAGTCAATACGTTTTAAAAAAGGAACCCATGTGGACAAGCCATGTACTCAAATTTCAGTATAAACTCAACCGAACAAGAACAGTCCCAAACAGCCAAACGTCTCGCAACTTGTCAAGACACTTTGTGAGTTTTGATTAGTAAGTTGGAATCTATTCTAAGGTCGCGTCCGTTTCGTTCCTATTTGCGTTGCTATTTTGCAATTATTCGCGTCGCATTTTTCGTCCTTTTTCTCCCTTCCCGAAATTGTTTTTTTTTGCCTTCTTTCTGGGGGGGGGGGGGGGGGACTTTGTTGTTTCATTTTTGATCATTGAGATTCGTGTTGACGCGAACACTAAATTGATTGATACTTTATTCAGGACATGAAATAAAGCGTAATCAGTCAGACAATACACAAATCTACACATAAATACATAGAGAAAGATGAGATATTTTACTCGGCGATGTAGAGGCGGGGAGAAAAGAAGATAGATAGAAGATAGGCTTCTTGCTTTAATAACCTCAGGCCATGAATGGGCCAACCCAGTGGAAGAGTGAACTCCGCTAGAGAAGGGATCTCTAGTCAGCTCTAGAGAAGACACCTCTAGTCTGGGCGCACGGGCTAGGGAAGAGAACCCTAGGGAAGAGAACCCTAGAGAACCCCACACCCTCAGTTTGGAAGTGAGAACTTAACCAATACACCATGAGGGCCCAAATTGTGTCTGATTGGCTCAATACTCGCGGAAATCTGCGGTTGGAAGAAATTACCGGGACTATAAAGTTTTAGTTTGAAAAATCAATATTATGTGAGCATCAATCACCACCAAACAAGCACTAGCATTCCCTCTGGGGGGACTTGGTTGTTTCTTTTGATGCGCATGCTGTTTTTGTAATGAGTATTGTTGCATTTTGGTTTTGTACTAATAAACAGTAAAATTATAAATTCAACTTACTTTCTGCTACGCTTCAGGTTTTAAATCCTGTTTAGATAACTGTTTTAACATTGTAGAGAGAGCTTGCTGAAATTTGTGTCGTCACCGACGAGTATTAATCTTGTGTTGGATGCTGCGCGTTCTTGTTATGTTGTCAGCGCTTTGGGGAAACCCATTTAAACTTCTTTGTGCAATTCGGCTATTCTGAAGCAAAATCATCCTCGTTGATCGAAACCTGAGCCTGAGGTTAAAGCGGGTCGCACCCCAAACTCTAAAGATAAAACAATGTTGGATACAAAGTGAGTTTTAAAAATTTCTTTGGTTTAGCTTGAATTTTCGCTTCATCGTGTCGTGTCGATTGCAAGGTTCACAAAGAAATTTAGGAAAAATCGACCGAGTTGTCCGGAGACGGATCAAGAATTGGAAAAAGTGAGGTTAGTGAAAGTGAAAGCTAAAAAGCAAAAGCTTTTTGTTTCCGACAAATCGAGAATTAGATCAACAACTGAAATTTGCGAAACAATCGTTATTGTGAGGTTCTTGGGGGAAAACTTGTCAGAGAAAGCAATTTCCTAAATCTTTCCGTACCTTCGTACGTACATTCGCAGCATTTCAGAGCCAACGCAAAACAAGAACAATCCCAGACGGCCAAACTTCTCACAACTTGTCAAGATACCTTGTGAGTCAAAATTGTTTACCTAAAATGTTTACCTAAAATGTTTAAACAAGGTTTTTAGGTTGAAAGCGAACTTTGATCACGAGTGAGTTGGCGAGAAGTTGTTCCTAGAGTCTGCACTTCTAGAGTCTGCACTTCTAGAGTCCGCACTTCTAGAATCCGCACTTCTAGAGTCTGCACTTCTAGAGTCTGCACTTCTAGAGTCCGCACTTCTAGAGTCCGCACTTCTAGAGTCTGCACTTCTAGAGTCCGCACTTCTAGAGTCCGCACTTCTAGAGTCCGCACTCCTAGAGTCAGTCACTCAAAAATTGTAGTAAAATTTAGGAAAAATCACACAACTTGCTTGGAAAAGCACCAGCAATTGAAGAAAGAGAAAGATCAACAAATTGAGAAAGTGACGTGAGTAATGGGCAGTATCAGAAATTTGAAAAATATCAGAAAAGGTATTAAAAAATGATTGCAAAACTAGTAGGCTGTCCCAGAAAGGCAAAGGTCAAAGAGCAACGGCATGCAAAAGAGAAAGCCTAGTGTTGCAAGAGATAATGACTGTGTTTTTTCACTCTGGGACGGCACGTTAATTCCAAAAAAGGCCTTATTATCACTTATTATTCTTCAGTCAGATATTCTTTTCCTTAGTTTGCATAAATGAAATTCAGCGTTATTTTTTCGATACCAAAGACGCGTTTTTGGAAAGTACGAGCTCTTGGAAAGTACGGGCTCTTGGAAAGAACGGGCTCTTGGAAAGAACCGGCTCTTGGAAAGAACGGGCTCTTGGAAAGAACGGGCTCTTGGAAAGAACGGGCTCTTGGAAAGAACCGGCTCTTGGAAAGAACGGGCTCTTGGAAAGAACGGGCTCTTGGAAAGAACGGGCTCTTGGAAAGAACGGGCTCTTGGAAAGAACGGGCTCTTGGAAAGAACCGGCTCTTGGAAAGTATGGGCTCTTGGAAAGTACGGGCTCTTGGAAAGAATGGGATCTTGGAAAGTATGGGCTCTTGGAAAGAACGGGATCTTGGAAAGAACCGGCTCTTGGAAAGAACGGGCTCTTGGAAAGAACCGGCTCTTGGAAGGTATGGGCTCTTGGAAAGTATGGGCTCTTGGAAAGTACGGGCTACAAAATGGATTACAAAAACAGTTTTGCGACTACGCGACTGTACGAGGGGGATAGGGCAATATTAAAGTGGTTGCGCTAGGTCTGCTTACCAGTTAGTTAGAAGTACCAGTAGTTAGAAGCAGTACACGCGACAGGTTAAGAATTGATCTCAAATTTGAAACAAACTCACTTTTAGAGCAACAATGACAGCAAAACTGCAGGAAGAAAAGTTTGTTTGTAAGTGTTTTCAAAGTTTCCATTGTTAAGAGGTGCTTGTGAAGCTGTGAAAGGAACGTTGAAGACATGTGAGGCAAACAATAAGGCGCTGAAAGCAGAACATGGCAGGCGAGTGCAAAAATAACAATGCTAACACTGGTTCATATGCTATAATCTGGGTCAAATCAAAACAATGCGATAATCTGGGTCAAATCTCGCCGATCATACTAGATTGGTCTAGTACGATCGGCAAGTTTAGTACGATCGGCAATAACAAGTTTATTTAGGGCAAACCTCTCCCCAAACACCTCCAAATCAACCGATATTGAAGCGAAATGCGAAAATTCTCATTGGACATACTACAACGAAACAAATTCCTGTTATTTTTACCAGGTAAGGTTTTGATGTTGTTGAACTTGCTCTTCTTTAGGCTTGAATTTTAGAATTTGAGCTACAATGACAGGGGAGAGTTGAACACGTATCTCAGGGAAACCGCTGAAAGCAATTGTGTCCAAAAAAAAGTCGCATTTGGTTTCGATTCATTCGGATAATGAATATTATTTCGTGGCAAGTGGGTTTCATTTTTACATTACGTTGAAATCGAAATCATTTTGGCGCACGAGAAACATTTGCAGATCAATTAGGAGAAACATTTGCAGATCTGATCCTTTCCGACGTGAAAGCCGCGAATTCATACGCTCAACCAGACAATGCTTGTAGAGGTTCAAAGTTCTATGCCTGGTGTGGTCTTCAATGGGTTAATCAAGTCCATAAATGGACTGACGGCACTCCATACGATTATTCGCTTTTTCGACCATCCCCGGATGATGCGACTGTGTTTCATGCGATTTATCTTGTGGGTTATGCAAAAGTAAAATTTAAGCTGGAAAATAATACTTAAAAGAAAGCGGAAAGCGTATTTTTGACAAGTAATTTCTCGACTTGTAGATTCTAGAGTCGAGTTCTGGATTCTAGAGCCGAGTTCTAGATTCTAAAGTCGACTTGTAGATTCTAGAGTCGACTTGTAAATAGAAGAACAAAGTTTGCTTGAATTATCCCCAAAATTTGAAGGAAAAGCTGCAATTCGGGGATTCATTTTTGAAGAAATTCCACTCAAACTTTTTCTACGAACTTTCTTGCCACCCTAATACAAGGTCGGTTGGACAGTCTAGGTTGAACCGGTTGGACAATCTAGGTTGGACCAATTGGACAATCTAGGTTGGACCGGTTGGACAGTCTAGGTTGGACAATCTACGTTGGACCGGTTGGACAGTCTAGGTTGGACAATCTAGGTTGCACAAACTTTATCTTTATCACAAAAATCGAGCATTCAAATAAACTTACTATTCTACCCATCTTAAGACAAAAACCTGTCTTAAATTCTCATTTAATTCTCATTTAATTCTCATGATGAATCTTGAATCTAACCTCGTAATTACACCAACTTTTTAGATGTGCAATGATGTCTCAAATGTCAACACTACCTACCTTGTCTACTATACTATAAATTTACGCGCGGCTCACGGAAGATATGTTTGCAAGAAACCGGCCAATGATTGAAGTGATTTCATTTTGATATACTGAACATAAAGTGTTAACTGAAAAGACAAGAAATCAGCAACCACTTGAAAGTTTCGAAAGTTTTTAGGGACAGATCTTTAAGATCTTTAACGATAAATCACACAGCTGATCGAATTACGAAATTCATCACAGAGATTTTGGAAATGATGAGCACAGGACAGAGTGAACAGGTAGTGAATTTGGCTGGCTAGGAGGGGACAGGTAGTGGATTTGGCTGGCTAGGAGTGAACAGGTAGTGAACTTGGCTGGCTAGGAGTGAACAGGTAGTGAACTTGGCTGGCTAGGAGTGAACAGGTAGTGAACTTGGCTGGCTAGGAGTGAACAGGTAGTGGATTTGGCTGGCTAGGAGTGAATAGGTAGTGAAATTGGCTCGCTAAGGATAAAGAGATAAAGATAAAGAGATTCAATGGGTTTGTTTCATTCAAAATTTCAATCAAATCAAAAATGATGTGGTGAGGATTAAGTGCAAGTTTTAAAGGGTAGAGCTGCGGAATTTGAAACTGAAACTTTGAAAATTGAATGTGCTCTCTGAGAAAATGAAAAGTAGTCATCAAAAAGGCTATTCTCACTCTCAAATCAAAGCTTGGCTGCTGAATATCTTTTCTTCCGGGTTACTGTGAGTCAAATAGAATTTGGAGTAAGTTAAAGAGAGTGGATCCCTTTTGATATCCATCTCTAACACCCCGACAACCCAACTCAACTCCTCCAAATTATTAGAGGGGAGTCCCTGTGAAATGACCGACCTGAACTGCAGTTGCATAGACCCGGAAGATATGTATCTTTATTTACAATCGTACGATAAGCTCTGATATGCCAAAATTTCGATTCTAAGCCCTAAAATTACCTAGAAAAACAACATTTGGAATAGAAATTGGTTAATATTAGCTTTTTAGAGCTTTTTTGCTCTAAAAAGACGCGAAAAAAGGTGCGCTAATGGGCAAGGTGCGAAAAAAAAGGTGCGCAAATGTCCGGGTGCGCAAAAAGAAAGCTCGCATTTGTCCCATTCCCGTATTTTTGAATTTATCAAAGTATCGGATTAGTAAAAACCGAAATGATCTGATTGACCGACAAGGGAAGCGCTTGTTCTCCCAAAATTTGAAACTTTGATTTAATCTAGCTGCATTTTAGATTAGAATTCGGCCCTCTTGGTCAATGTATTTTCTAAAAGACATCAATTTTAAGAAACTACCGTAATCTGACCGTCATTTCTCATTCGATCAGCTCAATTTTGATCTCATCGCCTGAGCCTTGTGTTTCCTCATCGAATGATACCAAAATCTGGCTGATTGAATGAAAACTAGCACAGGATTACGGTAGTTTGTCTAAAATTGAATGTCTTCTAGAAAACAGAAGCACAACTACTGCTAAATTGCCATTGAAATACTGAAAAGTAGATAACGTTGGAGTGTTGTTGTAATGTACTTTCATTAAGCTTTAGTTGAAAATTGATGACGTTGCAACGTCATGCAACGCGTCGCCTTTTGAGGTATTTGAATATAACTTAAATTTAAGCACTAAACAGATCTAGACTAACATTTTCTTTCCCCCCCAAGAGGCGGGTTTGATTGATATGATCATTTTGATCATATTAAGAGGAGAAAAGTCATCAAAAAGAGATTTCCCTCACTTTTTTTCTGTTCCCTTTCATGAAAGGCGTCCTTGAAAGTGAGAGCTTTTCCCTTTTTTTGGAAAAATGAATCCTTTTGATCGTTCTCTTTGGCTACTTTAACACCATTGTTTTCGAATTTTCATCTTTTCACACCCTAAAGGAGTTTGGGAAATTTATTTTCATTTGTTTGTTATAAATTTATTTTTGATGTTTCAAAATTTTTCTTCTCAGTTGTAAAGTGGGGGAAGTAATGTCCATCACAATCGAGGCGTTCTAAGGATTCTAAAAGTAGAGCCCCGAAAAGCGTAATCTAGTTCATTTGCATTGTATTCCCTTTTTCTTGAAGGCGGCTACCGAATAGCTCAATGGTTAGAGCATCGGCCAGCGGATCGGCCGATGCTCTAACCATTGAACCGATGCCGATGCCGAGCAGTTACCGATCAATCAATCGAGGGTTCAATCCGTTCTCGTGAAATCCTTCTATGCCGTTCCTTACTTTACTTTATGAAGAATTCCATAATGGTTTTTGAACGTTTATTAAGAAACTTTGAATGTTTATTAAGTAGTCCTTAACTGTTTGAGTCCTTGTTCTTGTTCGGTTTCATTTTCCAAATGTTTTCAAACGAAAATTTCAAGCACTTTTCAGATCGAAAAACGTATTCAATTTCACCAGAATGAAAACGCTTTTGCTATTCCTTACAACAGTGATCGCTTGGACGAGTGCTTGTTGCGGGTTGTCTGTGCCATGGATTCAAACGGGTTGCTGTATGCAATATCAACCGCCAAGTATCATTGGGTATCAGAGAGTAAGTGTAAATGATAATCTAAATAATAATCTAAATAATAATCTAAACAATAATCTAAACAATAATCTAAATAACAATCTAAATAATAATCTAAATAATAATCTAAATGCTAATATGTATCCACTTACATTTGAATCGATTCACGTGCTGTACTTTGAGCTCGAAAATGTCTAAACACACCCTTTCTGGTGTAAATTGTCTTGTTCTCTTGTTCTCTTGTTTTTCTCAAAGAAATACTAAGTCGTTGTTGCAAGGAAAGTAAAGAATTGCGAGCACCAGAAATGGTATGTTTACCTTTTTAGAGAACAAAGTCCACTGCAAAGACTAGCAACAATTGTAAGATCAACAATCAACAGTCAGATCTTTATTTTCTAGTTTCAAGTTCTCGGGGTTTATCCTATGTAAACTTTCAAAGATTTTCCTATTTTCTAAAGTTAACACGTTCGGGACGATTCGGTCCACCGGTGGACGAAGGCCGTCTGGCGACTGGGACGATTCGGTCCACCGGTGGGCCACGGCCGTCTGGCCCCTGGGACGGTTCGGTCCACCGGTGGGCCACGGCCGTCTGGCCCCTGGGACGGTTCGGTCCACCGGTGGACGAAATTGTGATCCACCGGACGAAACCCCTCCCGCCCCAGCGACAGACGCTCTACCGACTGCGCTATAGAAGACCTCTATTGCGCGTATCCCAGTAAAACGGCCATAACTTTGTGGGATAAAGTCTTATCAAAAAATGATGTTGATATGAAACGTCCATCTAGCTGAGCTCCATCCAATAAAACAAAAATCGTGGAAAACATACCATTAGAGAAAGAGAAATGCGGCGTTTTGTCTCACGAGCCAAAAAAAGAGCCGATATCTTTTTGAGGCAGCGATATTTTCAAAATCTGATTCGAGATTCGGATTCAGCATGAAATTTTACATATAGGAGGTGTATTTCGGGGCCAATAGCTTTGCGAGAAACCCCTCTCGTCCGCTGGGGCAGGGGCAGTAGCGCAAAAAAAACGCCTCGTCGCGAATGTGTTAAATTACCGAATAAATTCTTCATCTGTAAAGCAGAGAAATCGTTAAAAATTTAGATTCCAATTTACAAACGGATTCGAGTGCGCGTGCCTGTGTACGTTTATTTCCGCATTTTCGATTTTTACAAAAAAAAAACTTTAGAATGCCGACCTATGCAGTGCCGCCAATTGCGTGAGTTCAAAAAGCTTTCTTTCAATGTTTCTTGATAAAAAGCTTTCTTTCTTTCAATGTTTCTTGATAAAAAGCTTTCTTTCTTTCAATGTTTCTTGAAACGTCAACTTTTCAATTCTTTTTCAGACCACCATCTTACTCGGCTCCACAAGTGCAAATGCCAGCGTAAGTAAAGAAAAGCTTTAAGTCATTAGAATGGATTGATACACGTTTAAGTCATTAGAATGGATTGATTTGAGTCATTAGATTGAGTCATTAGATTGATACACGATACACGTTAGAATGGATTGATACACGAATGATGCTTTGTATGGATTTGTATGTCTTTTTTTGTGTTAGAAGGATCTTCAGATGCGGCGGACGTCTTTTTTGACATATTCAAAAATCATATTTTCAAAAAAGACCTCCGCCGCATCTGAAGATCCTTCTAACACACAAAAAAAATCATACAAATCCATACAAAGCACCATTCGTGTATCAATCCATTCTAACGAAAGTCTTATGACTTGATTGTCTTTCTTTATTTCTTTCTTTTATTTCTTTCTTTCTTTAATTTTAAAGATACTTTTTAAAAATCAAATATTCTTTCACTAAATTTTACTAATTAAAATCGTTTTATTAAATGAAATTTTATTAAATTAGTTTCTTTGTGCTGCTTTACCGGTTCGCGTAGGCTAGTTCGATTACTTTCTTATGTTTACAAAGTTTAAGGGACTAATTTGCGATGTAGTAAGACAAATTTTATAAGGAATTTGTAAAAGCCATCAAAAAAATTACCGTAAATACTGTAATAGTACCCCACCGCCCTCGTACAGTCGCGTAGTCGCAAAAGTATTAGTCATTTTTTAGTATTTCATTTTTTTCAAAGCGCCCGTCCTTTCAAAAAATGCGTCTTTGGTATCAAAAAATAGCTGAAATTCAGGGCTATTTTTTGATACCCAAACGAGCATTGTAGCATAAACCAGTGTCGAGAAAAACTCGTTCAAAGCTAGACTACACAACACTCCGCACCGTCATTATGGGGGTGGGGTACTATTACAGTATTTACGGTAGTTTTATTTTTGTTCTATTACTTTCCAATTAGAATATCATTTAGAATGCCTTCCTACGCTGACCCGCAACCATCTGTGTAAGTCGGAAAAGGTTATCGAATAAGAATTTGAATATTCAGAGAAATCCCCCAAATGAGCTATGGTCAAGGTGCGGTTGAGACTTCTCCGCCAGCAGCTCCAGGGGTGAGTCTCAGGATTACAGTACTCTTATAAATGGAATACTGTAATATATAAAGTGCCTAGTAGAGCTATTACTGTAGGAAATAAGAAATAGCAATTCTTAACTTAAGGTCATAGTTAGCTTTTGAATCTAGCCACAAAAATATCCGAACTCTTCTAGATGTCGCCGCTTTACGACAATTCGATCTCGATGCCGCCAAGAGATGACCAAATTCCCGTTGAACCCTCCGGGTAATCAAATTTTATAGTACAGGGTTTTCAAATCAGGAGCTAATAAATAGATTCATCATATCCTAATTCCAGCTACCATGGTCGAACAGTGAAACTGGTGAAAAGCTAATCCCTCCTCAGAACGAGATCTCGAGTATTTGTACATTTTTGAAAGTTACATAAATGTTTATCTTACAACCACACTAATTCTATAAAAGCTAAAGAGAAAAATTTACCCGTAATAACAATGAGCAAAATAAAATAATCTAAAAGAACAACAAACAAGGTAACAATGAATAAGGTAACAAACAAGGTAGCATACTTTACTAAAACTAAAAACTTGCAAAACTAACCCTAGCAAACGCTAAAAATTATGTTGAAGGAGGAGATGTTTCTCTGTTGGAATACTTGTCGAATCGCTTCCAGAAATCCGAGCTTTTTACGATTTCGTCCTCTTCTGACAGCGACAATAAACCGTTCGGCTTGAAGAGCCATATCCTGAAAAGGAAGATTTAAGTACAAAAATAAACTCAACTATATCTAAACATAGAAACATAGGAGTCCCTTTGGTAAAGTTCTATTTGCAATGTTACTTTTAACTCACTTCTCTAATTCAGCCTGTCGATTTGCGACTTTCATGATTTTATCCTGGTGCTCGGAGTCAATTTGAATTCCCATCTTATCGAAGAGCTCAAAAAGTTGCAGAGCAAAACGCCCAAGTTTCTTTGTTTCTGAACATTTTAACTTTAGACAAAACAAAACAAAACCACTCACCACAAAGCTTAAGGAAATCTTTTTGTAATTCGAGGCATTGCTCCGGGTCTTCTTTCAGACGAGAATGTTCAAGCATGATTTCGGAAAACTTATAAACGAACTCATTATTTAACTAAACGTAGATTGTAACTATAATGTTTTAAATCCAAACTTTCTTGGTTGCTCTCAAATTGTTTATCAAGCGGAAAGCGAGGACAATGTGTGGCGAATCCATGTCAGTCTGAAAGAAATGTTGAACAGCTTTTCAAGAAGCCAACTTTGTGCTTGTTTGTGTAGTCGATCGCCTCGGTGTACTTTCGTAGAGAGACCAAGATTGCCGCATAGATGGTGTGAACTCGACTGGCCGGGAGAAAGTTTTGCGCCTTGTGGAGAACTAAAATCAAAAGATTAAAGTTTTATTTTGAAAATTTTAAGCTTTAAATTAAAATTAATATTAATATTACTGTTTACCAACCATATTGAAGATCGGTGGCCTTTTGCGGATTTTGATCAATTCCGCGAGTGACATAGCTAAAATATCCAATTTCCGTGCAACGCAAAAAAAACTCACGTAAGTAAGGGCACGATCCCATTAGAAGCATAAAATCCGGACTGTAGAGCCATCCATGTATTCACAGCCGGCATCCATCCAAAACTAAAATTATTAATTTTACTAGAAATCACTAAATTTTTTTACCGATTGAGAACATTTTCGATAATCGTTGCAGAGACCGTTTCGTTTGGGTGAAGTGCGATGAATTCGAGTTTGATCAATGTCCTTAACAGCTCCAAACAATCGTTTACGCTTTCCACAGTCAATTCGCGTAACTAGGAAAATTTTAGGTCGAAAAAAGAAGCTCTTAATTACCTTGATGCATTTTGAAAAAAGTTGGTTATATTCGTACAACGTCTCATAAAAAGTTTCGTATTGTGTACTCGCTGAAAGATGTAAATATAATTTTAAAGGAATAAGAAAATATCATTTTAACAAACCATAAGGAAACAGTTGTCGCAATTCGTAAGCATAGGCAACCAAGTGACGAATGGCATCGATTTGCGTTGGTTTTGCATCCCATTCCCCGTCGTTCTTCTCCGATTTGATTTCTTTTCTGGCGCGATAATTCTTGTCGTTGATGCTGAACAAGCGCTCTCGCAAAAGCTGAAAAATTGATTTTGAAAAACAACACAGATAGCAAATTACCCTAATCAGATGAAAGTTCTTGATAGGTGAGACAATTTTCCCATCCTCTCGCTTCCATTTATCTTGTTGCCCTGATCTAAAGAAGAAAAACTTTACAAATTGTTGGCAACTAAAATTACAAGCTTTTGAGCATCATTTGAATACGTGGCCAGTCCAAGTGTTCAAAGTAAAGATCAATGATCTAAAATTGCGTCAAAATAAAAATTGGATAGAACAAAACGCTAACCTGCGGTACAATATCCTCAAACTCGGTATCAAGAGGCCATCCATAAAACGTGATAAATGAGTGAATATTGGCAGCATCCTAAAATTTATATTTCAGTAACTCTCGAACGCACTTACCCTTGAATCCACAAGGTTCTTCAGTATTCGATACGTTGGCTCAATTCCTTTCGGTTTGGGTTTTTCCGAGGCGCAGAAGATTCGCTCGTGATTCTCTTGTAGCCATCTAAAAAGAAAATTTGCATATATTTTGCAAAATTATCTCAAATCTACATCTAAAACTCTGGAATTTGAATTTATCCGTGCAATAAAAGTAAAATGTCCAGTGGGGTTATTATTTATTACTACTGCTTCCTACCCTACTGGTTTCTTCCAACTGCTTCTTCAAATGGTGAGCTTTTATCACTTATGTTCTTTTTATTTTTGGCTTGTCTTGCTTTTACTGGCATTTTGTTGAGCCTACTTGCCGTAATGTTTGTTGACTTGTTCGTTTTGTAGACTACCCCTCCAAAACTGACTGCTGCAATTGCAAGAACACAAACGCCTGAGGACGATTTCTTGGATGGTGTTTTTCCGCTAAGACTATGGGACACGGAACCTAATCAAGGTACTTTTGATTTTTAAATTTTAGACTTCTATACCGAATGGAGCCTTATACCCTTTTTAATGGCAAATTTTTAGGTGCAAAACCAATCGATCTCGAGCACAAAGAGACAAAGAATCGCTTCCATGGCTTCACGTTGCTCCGAAAGGCTTCATCTTGTCTGATCAGCCCTTCCAATGTTTCAAGGTAAAATCTTATTTGTTCATCTCCATTTTTCTTTTTTTAGTGCAACCTCCACTACAAGCATCTCCAAGTTCTCCTTCTTGGCCATCAAACAGGACTCAAGTACAACGGCTCCAATTACGAGCCCCCTCTCCACATCGTGGGGTCATTCGTCGAGCCGTGGAAGCACTATCTCTTCGACGTCCGGCCGCGCCACCTATGTAACTGAATCCTGCCCAAGTCGTTCACCGTCCACCGCCTACTCAATGCCACTACCGCCGAGCGACTATCAACCCACTCGAACAATTGAATGCCAATGTTCTCCTTGTATGCATGGAAATAACAGGTAACTAATTTCGTCCAATATATCACGTAACTGCTTGCTTTAGTGATTTTTCGGGTGGCCGTATTACAAAGCAAAACTCGTCCATTTCGGAGGTACTCTTTCGTATATTATTTTTAGAACATTAAAGCTTTTAGTATGACATCAGCTCAGCTTCTACGACTAGTGCCCGATCCTCGCAATTCAACTATGGTCCTTGGAGCGGTGGTCAAAGGAAATCCAAGGTACGCCCATCCGCCAAAGAGTCGCCAAAATGTCAATGTGATGAGTGTGAGAACGCGAGGTACATTCTTAGTTTAAGATTCATTTACTTCAACTTTAGGGCTATTCTCGCTAAGTGCAACAAGAAACACTTGCAGCCGACTAATGTCGACACGTCTGCCGAGAAAAAGGCGCTCAAACTCGAATTGGAGGTAAACTCTGACTCAGTTGTTGAATAAAATTGTTTTTCTTTAGAGCAGTCGTGATGCCTTCAGTCCAGCGTCTTCGATTGTCATCAGGCCTCCGCAAGATAACTCGCTCAACGGACAAAAGGATTTTGAAACCGATAGTTGAATAAACATTCGTGTTGTCAATTCTTTTCAAAACCAACTGTAGCAACTAACTTACCGAGAAAGTTCTTCAACACGCGGTCCTTTTTCGTCTTCAATGTAGTCTCGATTGCTCTTACTTTCGATACTCTGAAATAATCATAATAAAAGTTGCGTTTATACAATACCTTCTTAAACTTCCACCACTCATGAAAAGAATACCATAGAGCTGAATCGGAAAACCCATGGCTCTTCATAATTCGGCTCATCCATCCAATTTTCGTGTACACAATACCCCGATCCGTGGTTTTTCGATTTTGCTTATCTAGGTGGTGATCAATCGAAATAAATGAGTGATTTTGACTAACCATAAAGTGGTTGAAGTAGTAACTTGACTAAACATTTTGTGTCAAGTTTCGAGAAATCCTTATATCCGAGTCGCTCACACCGAAACAGGAGTGTTAGTCGAGCTGACAGATCATCACAACTAAATGAAAGAATGTGTCCGCTTATCTGAAACGGCACAAACCTAGCAAGAAGAGGTAAAATCAGATGCGGACGTGTCCTTTCCAAATCCACAAAGTCGATCAAACTGGAAAAGTATTCGAACCTAAAAGTTTCGTTTAAATTTTGTTGGACAAACCAGGCCAAACCTTGTTTCCAATGAGAATTCCTTGAACGTTAAAACATTCTTCAGAAGCTCATCGTAGATAAACTTTCTAAAGTAATATATAGAGGAAAACAGCATTGAATAAGAACTTACGAAATGCTCGGGTAAGATTTCAAGACAACCATCGCACGATTCGCCACTTCTTTCACTTTGGGGATGGGAGACTAAAAATTTCAAAAACCATAAAAGGTCCAAAAGATTCTTTATCAAAACTTACATGGTTTTTGATAAGTTGTCGGCAGAGTCTTGTTTGGATCTGGTCGACAAGCACTAAAATTGAATTTACATCAAAAATTTTAAAAATTATGGTACCCAATTTTTGCTGTTTATGAATGAAGTCTTTGACTTTCGTAGAATCCTCCAAGAGTGTGAGCGCTATGTAGTAATGCCCATGTGCCAAGTGACGTTCAATCTGGGAACACTTAAATTAATTACCACAAATCAAAGGAAAACCTCTCGAATCAACAGCTTGAAAAAACCCCATTGATGGCTCACTCTGCTCAAAATCTGAACGGGTGTTTAGAAAGAAAAACAATTCAAATTACCTGTTCGATTAAAGGCATCGTTTCTAAACCGTCTTTTGTGCGACTTTTTTCTGTTAGTAGCCATAAAATGTCAAAAACGCTTCCATTGCTAAGGGTAAGTTTCTTTTCGTCGTCAACGGCAATCCGCAGAATCTAAAAATTAAAGGATTGTAGCAAAAAGACACTAATTTTTACAAAAATAATAAATACTAGCCTTTCTCAATTGATCGAGATCGTTTCTTGCGGCAGCTGCTTTAGCAAGAGCTTCAAGCGCCAGTATTTGCCCCTCGGAACCATGTCGGTCTTTTGTTTGCTAAAGCACAGCAGTTATTTGATTTTTGTGAAAAATGACTTGATATAAAGAATCGGCTTTCTTCTCGTAGCCATGTACAGCAAAACCGTAGATGATCGCAGAATTACACTGAGCATCCAAAATGAGACCTCTTTTCGCCATTTCATAAGTCTGAAAAATTCATTTTAATTTAATCCAACTCAAACAGCAATAAGCTTATATAAAAATACCAAGTTCCTTGATGCATCTACTTTTCCTTGCAGCGCAAGTTGTTCAAGAAACAAGCGGAAGCTTTCTTGATCCAACGACAAACCCTTTGTGACTTCGGCATCCTAAAACATGAATCGAATCACGATTTTAGACTATACATTTAAGTCTTACTGTAACTTACATGTAATTGCTTATTAACGTCAAATTCGACGTCATTTTCCATCAAAACACGAAGATATACATTGAAAGCTAACACCGACCACGAGATCTCTGAACACCGTTTAGCAATAAATATGAAATGATCATCTTACCGTTTATCTGTAGCTGGCCAATAATCCTATTCAAAATGAGTTGTCGGTTATCCTTGTGCACATTTGACATGGCCCTCCCGCAAGCTAAAAACAACGTCGGCAGCCATCTTTCGTGATTGTTGCGTAGTGTAAAAAGAAGTTGCTCTAAATTTTATGCTCTACAGAACTATTTATCTTTCTATTTAATTTAACTAGGTACCCACAATACTTACCATTCCCGTCCTCTAACGGTTTCAAAATATTGCAGAAGACGGCTTCGCCCGAAACACGGAAATTTTGTCGCAGATGTTGTTCGATCGTCGAAAGTTCCACCTCCGGAGAACTCACCTAAAACAGAGATTGAGCAAAGTCTCTTTAGGGCAAAGCCTACTAAACTGTAACTTACTTTTTCTGGACGTTTAACGGTCCCTTTGATGCCAACAAAGTGCCCAATGTTGATCAATTTGGCGTCTTGGTCTGATAAAATCGGCACGGCTGCGGTCCGTTTGATGATGGGATAGAATCGACGGGAGGTTACGCTAAAAGCTGTCAATAACGATGTTTGCTAGATAAAATCTTGCTAGTAAACGAAATTTTTTTACCTTTGACTAGTCGAGGGTAGCACGCCATGGAGTGATTGTCGATTTGTCAAGATCCGGCGAGCGTTTCGAATTCCATCTCTTGATAAAGCGAGCATAAAGCTCCCAGTTTCACTGAAATAAAGATTACTGCATCGCAAAAGACCGTGGAAAACGTGAAAAAGACAACAAAAACGGACCAGTTAAGGAGTTAACAACCTTAATGCACTTTTCAAAATAAAAATAGGTAAGGTGTTCAAATGTTTAGTACGTGTAAATGCACAGTACGGGCATAGAGACGGATAGAGAGCTGCCGTTTTTCTGTGGGCATAAGAGCCGGGTTCTAGGTATCGGGCAGCTCTACCATCACCATCAAACGCAGCACACGCTATTGCGTTCTTGGTATGGAAGCTAACCCATTAAAAGAATAAAAAGATGAAAAAGAAAGTATTAAGTGTATCAGCGGAATATCTTTAAAACGAAGCACCCACATAAAAGTTCAAGTAAAAACCATACTCTAGCAATTCCTCTTTTTCCCACGTTGTTGTGTTGAAAACGTTTGAACCTTGTTTTTCTTTTGTTTAAACTTCAAGAAAATTATGATTTTTTGTTTAGGTGTTGATGTTGCCAAGAGATGTATCATCATTCGATCATGATCCACCAAAAGATGTTATCGAGGTGCTACCGGCGGTTCGACGATTCTACACGAGAGGAGTAGGTTTTGTTGTTATCTTGCCAATTTATCGGTTTACATTTGAATCTTTTCAGTATTCATAGGTTAAAATCAGTAGACTTGCGGCACAACCATCGTTCAATAAGCTTTCATTTAGGAAATAACGCTCGGCGACTACAATCGAAACTGGCCGATCATCTTATGCTGCGAGATTTCGAAGAAGATCGGATTGAATCTTGTCTACAAGCAAACGGTCACGTTAACTACGACTGGACCTACACGTATTTTTTTACAAAAGGTTAAAACGTTGTCTATTATAGCTGTGGTTACTGTTTGGTTTATGGGAATCAGCTATCGATACATTTGTGGATATCAGCAGATCAATCCGTAAAAGAACTTTTTGAACTTTAAAACTTGTATTTTAGTACCCTGAGCGAAGAAGAGAATGTTAGAGAAGCTATCGGTGCTTTATACAACAGACTCTCAGATGTTGGGGCTGTACCCAGTGGGATAGCTAGGTACTGTTTTCTTTTTGTTTAGACTTTTGCAAAACGACTTTTTTAGACTTTGTGCCCGATTCGAGCTTTTGAAACCGGTTGTATTGTTGACATTGCCTTGGTTTCAACATCTTATGATCAAAATAAACGAAAGTAAGAATCAATGACGAATCAAGAATCAATGACTCTTCAGCGCTGTATAAAGATCTCATGTTTGACATGCCCACAAGACCCATGAACGAGACTGCGCTTCTAGTGAAAGTGGAGTCGTTAACGGTAAAACGAAAAACGATTTCATTATTAACATTTTTCTTTAGAAATACTTGCAAAGTGGTCAGCACATTATTGGACCAACAAGCTGTGTATGCGATGTCCATCTTACGTGCAGATAGTGCGACTATGGGTTGGGTTTTAATTTTAAACTTTACAGATTGATTTTAGGGAGCCGGTGTTCCAAATGTTCGACTGCCCAATGAAAAGTTTAAAGAGATTTACGTAATTTTGTTGTTTGCTTTTTGAAGTCAACTTTTACTAGGACTGTTCGGGTGTTAGAAGTGGTGTCATTCAATTCCTCGAGGACTATCTCGTCGAGGATAGTGATCCGCAAAAGCAGCGCAAAAGCACTACAGGTTTGTTAAAAATGGTATTGAGATTTGAAGTTTCAGTTTGAAAAAATCACATTTCTTGTTTCAGAAACGAATCGATTTTTCCACCAGACGGTTCACCACATCCGCTATTGCTTGGTGTCCCAGAAGCTTTGACGTCGTATCTGGATGGACTTGATGTCTGCATAAGCAAATTGTTCATGTTATATTGATTTTTAGAGCAGGTGCCCCATTCCATTGGCAATTAATGAATTTATCGACTTCTTCAATGGCGGCGCTGTTTGTTTCTGTTTGATTGTTTTTAGCAAAGATAATTTAGGATAAACCAAATCGATGGATACACCAATGCCATCGTTGTTACTTGTAAGTTCAATGCAAAAGGCTGGTTGATTAATCCTTTTTAGCAAACAAGCAGAACCACTAATGCCAGCCTTGAATCATTTGTGCAGCAGAAAGACGACACATTGTTTGTGCCAATTGACAAACCAAGCGATTTCCAAGTTATTGTGCAAGAGGTACAGGAGTAGCATTGTCGTTTATTATAGAAGCCTTTAGAAACCTGGGCTCAACTTACTCATTCAAAATTTGCCCGAAAGAGAGAAGGATCCAAAGGTCACTAGACAAGTGGAAATTGCCACCGTTTCAGAAGTGCTTGCTTTAGTTGGTAAGGGATACGAAGATAAAATCCAGATAGTTAGTAATTTCAGGAGTCAAAGTACGAAGATTTTGATGTTTTGGGACGAGGTCCGTCTACCTGCATACACTTCGCTCTACAAACCCTTGCCATTGCAAGTTCGTCTCAGCTATCCACGTTCGCAAGCCAAATCTCGAGGTTATTTGCGTCAATGGGACTCTAAATTGTTTACTTTAGGATTTAAATAATGCTTTGAAGCGTCATCCACGTCTAAAAACGCTAGCCGTGAGCTGGTTTACCGAGGAAAACGAGAAGCAAAAAGAAAAATCACCGAGAAAGGTTCTAGATCTCGTCCAGTAGGCTTAAAAATTCTTTTTTTATTGATATTTTATTAGGAAACGACGCGAACAAAAGATCGAAAGCGCAGTCACTCCCAGAAGCCGAGAACGCAAGCGTTCTCGAGATCGTGAGCGCAAACGTGAAAAAGCCGGTGATTTGATAAAATGATAGTCCGTTTATCTGTGCATTTTTTAGAAGTCCCCGAAGGTCCGATAAGAAGTCGGAACCAAGCATTAGGGACAGTTCTCAGGTATCCTACTTATTATAAGCGTGTGTCTGTCTGTTCGGCTGCTTTAGAAAAAACGGATAAACCAATCCATCTGAAAGTTTGACATTAAAAACCTGACTTTTTACATGCAGTTTCCAAAAATCGAATAATATTTGACACATAATTTGACAGTTTTTCCTAAAAATCGAAATTAAAGAATACATACTACGGCGTGGCCGAGTGGTAGTGCATCTCGGCGTCCGATCTGCCAAGTTGAGCAACGTTGGGCTCGGTTGGTCTCAGGTTCGATCCCGGTCCAGTGCAATCTTTTTTGCTTTCTTTATTTTTACACTTTTTGAGTAAGAAAGATCACGGGTTCGATTCCTCTAGGGGTGAAGAAAATAAAATCCGTCTGCACGGAGCCAGAAAAACCCGCGTTTAGGCGGGTTTTTCTGGCTGGTTTAAATAAAGTATTACTTTTGTGCATGATTTTAAATCTTTTCAGCCATCTTTGTTTGAGCGAGACTTGAGGAGGTCTATTCGCGCCGTGTCGAAAATTTTGTGACAAAAGTTGCGGAAACGGCGGACTGCAACCTGGTCATCGGTGCCTGTGGGTTTATTAAATGTTTAATACACGAATCTGTTTTAGTTCCGGAAGAGATCCCATAAGCACGAAAGTAAACGCCAAGTTCACCGATATCCCTTTCATGATGTGTGGAGCCATAGGAAATGCCAGAGATGCCAGGCTTGTTTCAAGAGGTATTGCGCAACTCTGATGATTTAGCCAAGCTGAAGATATTGCTTTGGCTTACTGATTGCTCGCCTCGTTGACTTAGGGAATGGTTCCCAATCAGCTGGTCGATTTGGTCTCGAACGTAATGATGTTTGTTATTTAAGCGGCCCCTTTGCATTGATCTTTTAGGAATGGTGTGCACCCATTTGCAAAGAATTTTAGGGCCGTGTAGGTGAATTTTGCAAAAGCCGTTCTCAAGAGCCGTGAGTGTTATTCGCTTTTCCCAAAATCTATTCAATTTTAGCGGACTACGCGCCAATTTTAATGGAAATTGCAAACTACGAACAAAATGGGCAACTTTTCATGCCACCAACCAGAGTCGACCAAGTAGTTGATAGAGCCAAATTTGTAAAAGAGGAATGTGTTGTAGATCTACGCTGTCACAAAATTTGTTCAAACTATGAAAGAATTTGCGAAAAACACTGGACAATGACGACACTTATAGCGCCTGATGCAGCTTCACAGATTCCTCAGGTTTTTTTAAGCGTGGATAAAAATTAATAAGCTTGATAAGAAAAGTTTGTCCTTTTTATATCAGGTAGATCCCAAATGTATTGTTTAACAGACACATATTGATTGCTTAGATCGCTGATGGGTCATTCGAAGTCGTGGCTTCTGATTCTCGAGAGGCTCCGTGACGAAAGGACCGGAAAGAGAAGAAGATCAAAGAAAAGCAAGAACAGCGTGCGAAGCAAGAAGCAAAGGAGGCAAAGAAATCTAAAAGCTATAAAACAACAAGAAAGAGTAAGCCACGGACTCGAATATTGGATATTTTTATTTAAGGGAACGATCAGGGCCCCGGTAGAGTCAAAGCGCGTGGCAAATCACCGAAGCTCAAAGAGGTACGCAATTATTGTTGATCAATAATTTATTTATTTCAATTTATCTAGCGAGACACAAGTTCCAATGGATATTGAGGAAGGAGGCACTGTTTGTCGATTTGGTCTCTGATGACGAAGGAAGAGAGCAGCGACAAAGATGTATTAGTGTTTTGCCCACCGTTGTGCATTTTTTTCTTATCAGGATCCGGAAGAGACAGATCAAGCGTCTTACGAGGAAGAAGCTGAACTAGAGAGAAAGAATCAAGAGAGATTCAACAACAGCTTCTCGAATTTGGACAAAGGTTTGTAACTTCACTATGGGATATCAAACGCAACGATCTACTCAACAAAAAAGGAATCAAGTGGGTTTGGAAGCGTGGTTTTGTTTTTAGATTAAATGCAAACCAAGTCGCCACCTCAACTCATAAGCTAACTCGACGATTTAAAAGGAGATAGTTGAATTATAAAAAGGTAAGCCAGTGTCAAACAAACAGTTTCAATAATCAACAGCGAGAGAAGAAGCTGAACTCCTGCCTTTTTCATTATCACTTCGGCTGAACCTCAACGTCGGTCGTGCTTTACAATGGTAGCGGTCTTGCTCTGTTTATGGAACTTTCTTGATGGCAGCAAAGCCGACGGCACTCTTGAAGACAAAACTTAAATCTTCGCGATCTTCACGATTAAGGCTTCAGCTGTCGATTCACCTCAACTATTGGCAGCAAATCCACACTAACTCATAAATCAAGCGAAGTGTCCTGATTTCAACCAAAAAGAACAACAAACCTCGTATTTGGCCGCTTTAAAGAGCAAAGCTTCAACTTACAACATTTTGGAGCGTACCAACGCTGCTATTGCAATCTTTGGATACCTTGACTCTATCAAATCATTAACGAAGAAATGACAGCAAACTCAAAATCAATGAGGAAATGTTAGGCGTGAACTAGAGCAACGTTTATGGAATTTATTGGCATTCGATTAGACAACGTTTATGGCATTGGACCAAACCTTTAATCATAACTCTTCATTTTAGACTGGGTATTGATGGTGTCAAAGGACTGTCATGCAATCACTTTGCATTTAAGAGAACTTGTGCAGAACAACCGAATATAAAAACCCTTTAGTATAACTGTTTGATTCCAGGATTGTTAAACGGAAGATGCCTGGGCCCTATTGAGCTCTCGTTGAACAAGATGTGGAGGAAGAGAAGAGTAGCAGAAGCTTAGACGAGAGATGGTAGAAAAAGACGAGTCGAAAGAGTCCACGATCAGGCAGTCCATGGGGATGAACGGAAGTAGCGCGTGAAAACAAATGACAATAAAGCGAAGCGATCACTGCGGAAAACAGTCGAAGTTGGTTTTTGAAGGCTTTAATAACCATTTAGTACTAGAGAAAATAAATTTACCCAAGAAGCAAGCAGGCTACAACTTTTTTGATTGTCGATAGACATCTTTTTATTTATTACCACCCTAAACCTTTTTACTATGAGAAGACATGGTCTTTAAATTTTTGTTGCTTCTTTTGATTGCATTTTACTTTTATGTTTACATTTACATTGTTTTGCTTTTATACTTGCTGTTCTGTAAAATAATTTTTAAGATATCTCTCAACCCTTAAGATTCGCAGCGAATGAATTAACTAGTAAAATCTTTTTTAATACGAATGAATAGTAGAGGCAGAAACAAATAAGAGAAAGAATGCTTTTATGTTTTTGGGTTTTTAGGTCGATTACAAATATGAAAGGTTCGGGAACTTCTACACCACAGAAGCTAAAGTTTCTTCAAGTTCTGCTAATTACATTTTCAAGCATAAACTATTTAAACTCTTCGCAAATACAATATTTGTCATTTGCCAAAAGCTGTTGCACATTTTGCGATTAAGGTGTCCTCTATTTTGAGCAGTAAAACTATTAGTAATTTTGGCTTCTCTATTCATTTGTTTTCTCAAATATTTAAAATAAGCATCCATCCCCTTTTCCTTGCCAAATTCATTTGTGAGCTGGCATGCTGTTTTTATGCAGGATTTGAACAATTTTCTGATTTAGAGACGTATTTCTCCTCTTGCCAGTCACTCAAGTAAATACCTAAAAACAGAGATTGAGGTGAGCATACCGGGTATATGAATTTTAATTTCCTTCATAACTTGCAGAAAAGAAAAGCCATTAATCTGAAGTCAGTCATTAAAATTTTGGTTTAGATTTTCCATAAAGGCCCAGCTCGAAGTCACGATCGGAACTACCCGAGAATCGAGAGTAAAGATGCGGCTTACGAGCCGCTGTTTGTGACCACTACGACTGCAGTATATTCGAGATCCGATCACTACTTCGGCTGCATCAGAAATTCCCAACCAACCAATCATTCCGATAAATTCCACGCTATTTGCCAATCCATCCGAACAACATTCAACCATCCACGGCTACGATTATGACTTTTTTCCTTCGAACATCTCACAACCACCACCGGCGCTTCCGAAGATGCCAGTTACTACTTATGTACCACCTGTGAAGAGATTTGAATGCACAACCTCAACTACAAGCTCCGACCGTCGAAAGCTGGCGCGAAGAATTGAGGAAGCAAGCCGACTTTACCTCCCGAACAACTGCGTTTGTTGCAAAGATTGAAGGCGGTGACTGAAACAAATTGATGATGGTGGATTCTCGGCACCGATGGTTGTTGCACCGACACCGACCTCCCCCCGATATGCGTGGACCGCCGCCGATGCAGCGAATTACGCCAGCGGCAAATTAGCCAAACCAATCATACGTCTCGCCTGAATCTCGCCCGCAAGCCACCGATTATTGCCCAACCTGTGGATCCGTTGGGGGCCCGACGTTTTCGAAATATTTCCGCCACAGCTTTTCCATCTTTCGTTCCCGATTGGTTGGTTGAGACTTTCCCACATTTAAAATTTCCAGTCCAACGCTTCCTGAGTGGCAGTTTTTTTCAGGATTAACCATAACATTAACTTTAGGTGTATTGACTTGCTTAACGAGGCCGAGAAAATCCCACCGTTCTACTTTTAAAATTTGCAGTGCGGTTCAGGATCAAGGAGAATCCGCCAGCTACTATTAGAGCCTAGGGTTGGTTTTTATTCTTATTTGCTTGTAATGCTTTCTTTAGTTCTGTCGTGAACACGACCAGCTAATAAATCCATGCGCGCTTTCTGTTGCATGTCGGACTTAATGCTTAAGACCGTTGACTGTATCGTACAACTCCATGGTCTCATAGTATTCGACTTGCCGAATTAAATGGAATATGTTTGGATAAGAAGGTTTGTTTAGGCGATAGTAATACTATTAATTTTTAAAGCTAACTTAGCTGCAATACTGTTTTTAAGCTAGATAGAATTATTAGTCAACTGCGTAAATCAGCGACTTGTTGTTTAAACTTTTGGTGGGATATGTAAATCGATACCGCATCGTGATGAGATGCCGTTACGCTCTCAACAATGCCAGGTAAATTGTTTTGACAAAGGTGCTTATGTTGGTTAATAGGATTGTTAAGTTTGTCGATTCAAATCGACCGAGACTTCTTATTGCTTAAGTTTAAATGGTTGCAGTTAACCTTAGCTAAGCAGTGAATGACACTTTCTTTGTAGTTTTGCGGCGATCTTCACTTCCTGGCTTGGTGCAGGGAAGCAGGCACAGATGAGAGCCTCTTGCAGGCATGAAGCTGATCTTGCAGGAAGCAAAGCAAGTGATCTCTCTCAAATCCATTGGCTAAATGGGAGCAAGAAGTCTTCCCAACACCACATTTTTCTATAGTATGTAAATATTTGCCTAACTTTTTCGTACGTTCATTAGCATTTTACATACGTTTGTAGTTTTTATTGAATAATGTTTTTATCCTATTTTGTACGTTCATAGAATTTTAATTTATAATGTTCTATTCGATTTTGTACATTCATATTTTTAATAAATAAATTTTATTACAAGTGCTATATGCTATATCGATTTTGTTGTTGCAAAAGGCATATACCTACTTAAAACATTTTCTTTTCCTACAAGAAAGCTTTCTAGTAGGGGAAATAACGGAGCTGATGATTTTAACAGCTTAACCAATCCAATAGTAATTTCTTTTGAAACTTTTAAATTTGGTACCTCATGATCAAGACGTCTGTAGTTTTTGAATTTCGCCTTTTTTGTTTTGCCTTTTGGCGGCGGGCCAAGAATTCAGGGAGTAACATAATAGATTTTGTAACTAAAAGCTTCTATTGATTTTTTCTTTGTTAAAGGTTCGTTAAACTTTATATTTCAAGAGGACGACTCTTTCTGGCAGAATTCAAACATTTATTTTGAACGATCATGGCTTTTTAAAAGAAAACCTCAAACAAAATTTTTGAAAAGCCTGTCCTTTGTTCTTGTTATAAAGTTATCAAGAGTCTTTGCAAGTTCAGGAGGGAGTGGATGTCTAATTCTGACTGTATGTACCAATTAGAATGTTGAATTAATCATCTTCATTTGAGCCTATTGAAGAGTTTTTGTCTACAACACGAAAGATATCCCATGAAGGTATTACTACTCATTTGTCATTTTTGCTTTCTATTCTGTTGCACAATATTATTTTATTTTTGATTTAGTTGAAGCGTGGTCGATTGTACGACACTGATGCAAAATGAGGCTTTCAACACGGGGTACATTTTACGAACGGGAATGAGTAGAAGTTTAATCGTTTTTGTCATTATCGATGGGTCTTGAATATCCAAGTTAGACCAAGATCTTTGATCTGCCGTTGATAATGAGCATCAATAACATGCTCGTAAAGATTGAATTTGTTAAATAGTATAGGTTTATGCTACAACATTAGCAAAAAGCTAATCTTCCGTTGCCTTAAAATATTCTAGATGTAAAACTATTAAATATAGCTTTGAATCAAAGCGAAAATGCGAAGTAGAGGTGGAGCATATTTCCTAAAATCCTTTTTCTTACGACCCACTTTTTTTACTGGCCATTGCCGCTATCATCTAAAAAATAGTTTCTTGTATTAATTGTAGCATTTATAAAGGTTTCTCACCATAAATCCATTTCCCATGTGGTCACAAATTTCCCACTTTCGAATTTTATCTTCATTCGACAATCGATGATTCGTAAAGACGTCATGAGCCCCGGTCATCCCTCGAGGCTGGGACGGGCGGCGAGAGAGGAAACTCTCCGCAAAAATCGATACTAAGCTCTCTTCTCCCGACATCCCCACCCTCATGCAGTTGAGGCAAATCCAGTCTTTTGGGGACAGCTTTAGTTTCCACGCTATCTCTTTTACTCATCCTAGTCATCGTATATTTTAACGATCCAAATTTAACGACTCTAACTTTTTTTGAGTAAAGAAGTAAAAATAAAAATGTACTAGTTGAAACAAGTCATGAATTACATTCCAGTTCCGGCATTTTGGCGTTTGTTTTTTAAACTTACTCCAAATTGATAGTTCGGCGTGACATTTTTAAGATCACAAAGGAAAATTATTGCATTTTTAGGTAAAGCTCTCTTTTTTTTTGGATGTTGTCAGCCCAAAAATTGTCTTGCTAATTTATTCAAAGCTTCTGTGTCCTTTTTCTTGTCGCTTAGCGATCAATCAATATTTTCATTTCTACCGCCGCTTTTTGTCGTTCAAATGACTAATATCCAAAACAAATTACTTTTCCTTTTTCCAACCAAAAGGCCTCTAAATATTTTCTATGATTAAATTTTCGAAAATTCCCTCATCGCTTTGTCTATTCGATTGTGTTGGAGGACATTTAGGGAAATCTGTTTATTGTTCTAAATCAATGTTAAAATGGATGTGATTCAATTGGCCAATATTGGCCCGGCAGCTCCGCTTAAGAGGAACGGAGCCATTGAACATTTAGTTCAGCGCCTATGCAGGAATAGAGGTAAGAGCGTCATTTTTGATTTGGATATTCAAGACCTTTGTTTTATTTTTCCTTGTCGTTAATAATTTTATTGTTTAGTTGGCTTTTCTCCGACAATCTTCTTCAATCCGCTACTTGGACGGGGACAAATTTTGACTGGTGCTCAGGTAGAGAGAATTTTTTCTCATTTGTTAATTGACCGTAATTTTAGCGACCTCCACAAACTAGTCTTTTGTTGGAACATCAGCGACAAGTGCACCAACGAGTTTATTCAGCAAATCTTGCAGGTTTGTTTTTGTTTTTCGTTTTCTAGTTTTTATTGCTGCTTTTTGAGATCCGGCAAAGTCTCGAACTGGAAGCGTATAAACAAAGGGATCGAATGGAAAATTCCAGGTTAATGCAAATGGTTAATACAAACTTTTAATACAATGGTTAATACAAACGCCTTTTTCTCTCGATTTTCTTACCTTTCTTTCAGGCTTTTGGATTGCTTGATTTTTGACAGACCAGACAGTACTCTTCGCGCTTTGCGAAGTGCTGCACGATTTTCAAATCGGTGACAAAAAGCTAAATCTTAGGGTGGGATTTGACCTTCATGAAGTTTTTACAGAAAAATTTTAGGCTGACAATTGCGGTCGAAGCTAATTGGAGGAGTCGGAACAAGGAAGCAAAATTCTCTCAGGAAAGCCACCATTCAGTTCAACGCTGGGATTCAGAAGGGTGCCCCACGATGAGGAAGCACTGAAGGTAGAAGTGATTAGAAGATATAAAACTTAAAACGAAAACAATATTTTGCTGCTCAAAATGATTAACAACAAACAAATTGTAAAACAAATTATGAAACAAGCCAACAAATTTTGGTGTTTGAATTTCGTCTATGATCAA